GAACAGAATAATATAATATTGGAGGACTTCCCGTCGACCAGATGGCTAATTTTAGACAGACCAGCTAAACTTTGTTTGCTGGGGAAATCCTGAGGTCGAACAATTTTCACCAGCCAATAAAATTTAGCCCTTCCTTCTAAATTTACAATTTTAGATGATGGGAAGTCCTCCATTAGATCATCAAATCATTCAGAAGATCATATTAATTAATTAAGCAGATCATTAATAATTAATTACACAGCCATTTATTAAATACACAGCCATTTATTAATTACACAGCCACTCATCATTAATTTCACAACATGAAGATCATTAATCACACAGATGACATCATTGATCAACATAGCAGCAGAATATTGATTTCACAACAGTAAATCTTGAATTCCACAGCTGCACATCATTAAATTCACAGCTGTAAATCATTAATTTCATAGCATGACATCATCATGACATCATTAAATTAGCAGTATGAGGTCATTACCCAGTCAGACCAAGCATTCTCATCAGTGAAGCTGTTTACCATCCCCACCAAAGATTTTGTCTATAAACAGAGGCCCTCCTGGCCCTTGATTTCCTTGCTTCCTCCCCATGCTAGCTTCAGAATAGTAATTAGAGATATTACTTAGCTTTCATTGTAAGGGCTACGTTCTAGCCCTGCACTACCGTTACGTTACAACAGGCTCAATAGCCTGAGGGAGAGAATTCTAGGACCAAAGATAGATTTCAAAAGAAGAGCTAGCTCGATAGAGGTTAACTTCAGATCTCTCCGTATATACACCATTGAGAATAATTAAGAAAAGATGAAAGAAATGAAATGAAACCAATAAGAAAGGGTGAAAGAAAAGAGAAGTGTTTTATCTTACCTAGCTCGATAGAGGTTAACGTCAGATCTCTACCGAGCTAGGAAGGCGGGGAGGCGATGAGTATAAGAATTAAGTCCAGGTTGATGATTATGTAATATTGTGTGAAATGTTTGTGAACCCGCGGGACAAGGGGTTACATTCATCAACCCTTATATTTCAGATACAGAATAGTAATAAGAGAAATTACTATACCCTTACTTCTGACCCTTATATTGAACCCTGTTAAATAATAAAGGAAATTATTTAACTCTCCTCAAACTCTCAACAGAAGATGTTGAAGAAATAAAGACTCACTTTATTAAAGACCCAGATTAAACCAGAGATCCAGATATAGTCTTCACAGAACAGAGAACCCAGAAAGAATAAATTAAGACCAGAATAAACCAGAAACCCTCAGATATTTCCTAACTCCAGAAGCTCTTGACCATCCATTCCATCCACCCTTATAAACAACTCAACATTCTCAACAGGTAGTATCTTCACTAAGATAAATTTTAGAAATCAACCACACTATTATTGTTCTTAGTGAAACTCTCTCACAAGCTAGACAAGGAGGGCAGTCTCACCCAAACCCATTTATTATTATTAGTATTTTATAGTTTTATTAATATTTATCCCCTCCAAGCTCTTCACTCATTAGCTGAGCAGTTCCACACCGGCTGGAAGGAAACCCTTCCAGCCGGCCACTCTCATCCTCTTGGCCTCGGGTATCCCTGGGGATACCTGGATACCCATCAAGATTGGGAGAAAAATTGGGCATCTGCATCCAAATCTGTATCCCCTGGCGGGCATATCCTGGCACTGGGGGGTATCCACCAGCAGATAACGGGTATCCACAACAGATACCCCGCAAACATCTCTAGTGAGGAGACAGATAGGGGAGAAAAAACATCCACTAGGAAATGAAATCATCTAATTCAATAAAATGTGATTAAGATTTTTATTTTTGTTAAAAAAAGTGTAAATAACATGTGATGCAGCCAAATTAAGAATTGGGACACTTGAGGCAGCTCACTGCCCCTCCTGGGATGATGCATGTTATTTTTCAAGCTAATCTAGTTGTTATCCAAGGCAATTTTACCTTGTTACCATGTTGGCTGGAGATGTTGTTTATTTTAAGGTAGAGTCATACTGGGTAATAATCCATTGGAAGGTGTGTTCACAAAGTTTCTGAAGCCATTTTTGACCTTCTGGGTACAGCAGCGCCAGCAACAATGGAAACAGACAAAAAGACATGCACCCAATGCCAAACCAATCAAAGCTAGAGATCCAAAAACACCATCAACAGCTGCACCAATGAGGTTTGATGGTCCTGTAGCGTATTTTCTGAGAGGTGTGCTCCCTAGCTTGCTGAAAGGCCGAAAAAAATACATAAGCAAATTTGAACAAAAAAAATGATTATTGTTGAAAAAAAGGCTTACAAGCCATGTAATTGTAAGTTATTGACAAGGGTGATAGTGTTATTCAGGGATGTGTTGTTATTGAGAGTACCATTGTTCAGTGAGGTTGCATGAGTGACCAATTCAAGGGTGGCAACATTGATGAAAGGGGAAGGTCATTGAGAATCATTGGCATTAGTGTGTTGAATGTCAAATGCAGGCAATGGCTGGGCATCTGTGATGATGCTATGGCCTGTGGCCAAAGATGTGGTGTTGGCCCCCTGATGTGGCAAAGTAACTGGCAGTGATACATATATGATAGGGTCAGGGGATGGTGGTGTTGAATCCTGTGAAGTGGAAACTGATGAGGGTTTCAATTCTGGCCACAGGGTTGAAGAAGCTGGTGGACAGATTTGTTGGGGATTGGTGGTGTTAGGGATTTGAATGTAAAAATCAGGCAATGGCTGGACACTGGTGCTATTTTCTGTGGCAGAAGAAGTTCCTTGTGGCAAAGGATCTGGAAGGGATTCAGAAATGATAGATTCAGGGATTGGGGTGCTGTATCATGTGAAGTGACATTCAATGGGAGTGTTGAAATTGTGCTGGGGGTGAATAAGCTGGTGGAGGGCTTGAATTTTGAGAAAAAATTTCACTCTGTCTGAGATGAATATGGTGTTTGCAGAATTTGACCTGTTGCAGTGGGTAAACTGATAGCTTGAGCTTGTGGGGCTTGGTTAAGTGGTATTTTGGAGGCTGCAGGTGGTGATTTATTGCCAATTGGCTATCTTGACACTTTCCCCCAAAGGAATAGTGTAACAATAAGGGGACTGCACCGGTCCAATAGGCAGCCTGAAACCTGCCTTGCAATACTTAAGGGGAAGGCTTTCCCTCTAAGATTCCTTCCCCCAGAGATTATTGCCATACAAACCCGTTTACCTTACTTAATATTAGTGAGTGGGGTTTTAGCAGTAAACTCTCCCTTTTCTCTTTACCTTCCATCTTTATCCTTATTCTACTAGCCTAGACTACAGTTAAGTCACTACTGTAGTCTAGAAGAGAGCCTCTTTTGATCTGCTCTAAGCTCGGCGTGGTGATGCTCATTCCACCATCATCCCCTCTAACCCAGGGAGCTAACCCCTCTGCTTTCTAGCATTGAGGTGAGGTTTATTTCCACTGGCCACTCTTAGGCTATAGTGTGACCCTATACCCCATCAACTCCTGGTCACATTTCCTTCCAGTCGGCAAGGTACATGTACCTCGTCGGCCGGAAGGATTTCCTTCCAGTCGGCGAGGTACATGTACCTTGTCGGCCGGAAGGGGTTTCCTTCCAGTCGGCGAGGTACATGTACCTTGTCGGCCGGAAGGGGTTTCCTTCCAGTCGACGAGGTACATGTACCTCGTTGACCGGAAGGATCTCCTTCCAGTCAACGGTTATGAATGGAATAAATACAATCAGACCCATTATAATACTGATAACCCTCCTCAAAAGGTCGTCCAAGGCTATAGTATGACGCTTCCACTATTAACTGAACTTTCTTCACGATGCTGATTTGCAACCTTTTTTTTTTTTTTTTGCTCCTAGAATTCAACATATTCTACCCGGATCTGATCGACAAAAGCCGAGCGCCGACCTACAAGATTATCAAGAACAAGGAGAACGAGGATGTGGCGACACTGTTATTCAAAGCGGGCCCGCCATACAAAGACATTGCCTTCACGATCGTCAACAAGGATTGGGAGCACAGTCACAAGCGCGGCTTCCGGAGCTCATTTGATCGCGGCGTGAGTGACTGCGACGGATTAGATGATTGACCATCGATCTCTTCTCACTCAATTTTTTTTTTGTTTTCTTCTTTGCGTGTTCACAGGTCCTTCAACTGCATTTCACGCTCAAACGGATTCACTATCAAAAATAGTCCAATGGGCACGCAGTCGCTCTGGTGCTCCCAGCCGGCTCTGCCGGGCGTTGTATTGCGTACACGAGGCGCTCAAGCGCGGCTGCGTCGGCCTGTCCTGTCAATGAAGTGCTAACAATTCAGGTTGAGTTCCAGATGAATCCTTACCTGGAATTGAAGATTTGGCCTCGTAAATGCACCATCCAAACTATTCTCTTCTGGTCTGCCCAACCTGTACTTCTTTATCGTGCCCTGCCAGATTCCAACGTTTCTCCCCGACCAACTAAATGCACTATTTTCCTTTCACAAAACATCCAAGTGGTCCTGATATTCAGGAGGAATCTGGAATATAAACCAATCTGGGCAAAGCCTTTAACATCCCAATCATTAAGATAAACAAGCGTTCCAGTCTCCCGTGGAAGTCGACACTCCGTCTTTTTTTCTTGCGCTTGTCTGCTGTCCTAAGACTATGTATCTCTCGAATCTAGTCATGATGGAAAGACAAGGATGCAATCTACATCTTGCTAGCTTTAACGGATACAACATGGATCAGCCTGTCAGTCTCTCAATCCACACCCATGCGACCGACTCCGAGGAAGACCCGCAAGAAAGCTGGTTGAATGTCGGTTGGTCAACCGATGTTGTATCGATGGCAGCAAGCTTGAGGACTCTAAACCTGTGGATCTCTGGGAACCTCCTCACTGAAGATATTTTCAGAAGAGAGGATTTACATTGGATGTGCTTGCCGGGGGGGATTGCTGAGTTGACTTCCAGTTGGCGAGGCACGTGTACCTCGCCGGCAGGAAGGATTTCCTGGCGGGCATCGCGGTACATGTTCCTCGTTGACTGGA